AACTTCAATGGCTTTTTGCTTATTCTCAAGAGTACAATAGTAAGAATATAGAATCATCCCAACCATGGCTAACAAAATACCCATTATGTTTCTCCAGCTGAATGGATCCTGGAGCAAAGTATACCCAAATGCTAATACAAGGCATGATCCTACACTCTGATCTAAAAGTGTTACTATAGCTTTTACTTTGTCTTTTATACTTCTAAAGAGTATATTTTCTTCTATAGTTCCTGATTGTATCCATGCTGATTGGGAGACATATGCAGCAGAACCACACACACTGACCTGCAAAATAATCCAATGTATTTTGTAAGAACTTTTACAAACTGAAGACTAAGGGCCTGTTTATAGCATAACCGCTTATCATATAAGTGTTTATGCATAAGCTGTTTCTATAACAAAAGATGAAATAAAGTCAAATTGTTTTTAGTTTTTATCTTAGGCAACTCACTACTTGACATACAATCACGGTTGCACTCTCGTGGTGAAAAGCATCATTCATACAACCACCACTTACCTCAAAACGATTAGTCATCTATTGTGGTGTCTTTTTTTCCAACAATCATGGTATCAATTATCCATAGTAGTGTTTCATGGTTGTCCATACTAATGTTGCCAACATAGTGGAGGTGTTCGTTCAATGGAAAGACAAATAGAATTTAAAGTAATATGGAAATCTTTTGAAGTCATCAACTAACAATTTACTTAACTAGGTGAAACTTTTGAAGGAGAATATTATTAGTAGACCTCTAATTATTAATGTGTATGTTAGTCGTAGGCCCAAAGGTCCAATAAATTAGGCTCAAATATCTAATTAAGTATCATGTATATACGTAGAATAAAGAATGAGAAAGTCTATCAGTTTATTATTGGTTAGTTTAGTTTGATAGAGACAAAGGTTATAATTAATAATACAATTATTGTCTATTATGTAATAGCTGTTACAGACATTCTGTAACTTCTACTACAGGAGATTATTCAGAGTTTAATTACGTAAAGTAATATATTCCATTTCCAGTATATTATTTTTCTTTATCTTACATACTATTCCAAATCTATCACAATCTTCCTAAGCATTTTTCACAACCACTAACAAGATGTATTTACCATCTTCTTCAAATTCTTCACCCTCCATCATAATGTAATTACCATTCAAATTGTATTTACCATTCAAAATGTAATTCTATTAAAATTGTAAGGAACTAATGGATGGTTTTGTTTTATTTATTATCATCCATAATTTCATGTTCCTTCATTTTGCGGCATAAGGAAGAGGTCAGGGTAGAGAATCATATATGTTAGATATACTTTCGTTTCTCTGAGCAGAGCTATGATCTATGGAAGTTGGGACTATATATTCCCTTCTGCATCTTCATGTTTTCATTACCAACCATCAATAATATATTATTTCCATCATCTTTGTTGTTAAATTTTTCCTGTTTATGCATTTTGTGATTTGGTTTGCAACAAAATTTTGAAAAAAGTTTAAAATTATTTATCCATTAACTAATGTTTATTTTATTTTTTTATTGATAATCTATGTTTTTAAATTTGACGCGGCAAATGGAGATGTCCGGCCCGTCAAAACCTTAGTTCAGCCTACCAAAACACAAGGCTTTTGCACTCTGCCCCCAATAGAAGATAATAGTGGCAAAAAAATCGTGTCCACCTCGTTCAGACCACACCCGACAAAAGAATAGAGCATGACAGAACAAATATAGTAGACGCGACAGATTAGAAACCTTGACTCGGCCGCCAAAATTGACGAGTTAAACGGTCAATGTACGACAAGTCCGACCCGTTTTTTTGCCCCTACTACTACAAGATACTTTTGTCACATTATAATTGTGATTCAACTCAGAAAACTATATTAAAACTCAACATAATATTAATACAAAACCAAATTGGCTTTGATTGGAAAACCAATGTAGACTTGATTTAGGAAATTAAAACTACATGGATCAAAATCACACATCAGTAGAGCTACATCAACCAAAAACACATTTTTTTAATCTCTTTAGCCATATCACTATTTTTGAGTATTTCTCTATAAGTGACTGACCTTGCATGTTTATGAGATTACAGTTTATTTTAAATTTATCTTATGCATAAGCTGTTTCTATAACAAAAGATGAAATAAAGTCAAATTGTTTTTATAAGCTCTCTGCATTGATCTATGTAGTATCCTGATGCATGGTCTTGTCTTGCAGGTATTGTCAACCTTTAGTGTATGTTAAGTATCCTGATGCATGGTCTTGTCTTGCAGTTGCAGGTATTGTCTTGTCTTACATGATCTTTTTTAGTCTAACATTTAAATTGTTCATGTAAGTAACTGTTTTAGATTATTCATATAGGACTAAGTGTTTTTGTTGACCAAAATATTTTCAGTGATGGAACATCCTGTTCCCTATGTTGAACCTACACAAGCAGTAGAAACTGCACTTCCTCCTCTCCCCCCCTTCTAGGAAAAAAATACTAGTTAATGCTAGTGGATCTAGGAAAACTTCCACCGTTTGGTTAGACTTTAACATTTTGCCGGATGAACCTGAACCAATAGTTGCGTGTAAACATTGTCACAAAAGATATCGATGCGACCCTAAAACACATGGAACATCTAACATGTTAGCTCACTCAAAAGTGTGTCACAAAAACCCTAACCTTTTACAGAAAGATCCCACTCAAAGAAACCTTGTAAATGGTGAAGGTGGTTTTTTAGGTTCAACAAGCCAAAGGTTCAATGCTCAAGCATGTAGGAAGGCTATTACTTCCTTTGTACTTCTTGATGAGCATTCATTTAGAGTGGTAGAGGGTGAGGGTTTTAAGAGACTATGCAAACAACTACAACCATAAATGACCATCCCTTCAAGGAGGGTTGTTGCTAGGGATTGTTTTCAACTTTACCTAGCCGAAAAGTTGAAACTTAAAGCCTTCTTTAAATCTAATTGTCCTAGGGTTGCACTAACCATTGATTGTTGGACTTCAATTCAAAATCTTAGTTACATGACCATAACTGCACACTTCATTGACAATGAATGGAACTATCATAAAAAGATTATCAGTTTTAGTTTAGTTCCAAATCACAAGGGTGACACCATTGGTAAGAAAGTGGAGGATGTTTTGAATGAATGGGGGCTTAGAAAAGTGTCAACAATTACCCTTGATAATGCAACATGTAATGATGTGGCCGTTTCTTATTTGGGAAAAAGACTTAAAAGCAAGAATGCTTTAGTTGGTGATGGGAGTTTTTTTCATATGAGATGTGCTGCCCATATCTTAAACTTAGTAGTGAGAGATGGGCAAAAAGATCATGAATTGGCTATTGAAAGTGTTCGCGAAGCTGTTAGGTTTGTGAGGTCCTCACCACAACGAGCTTTAAAGTTTAAGGAGTGTATTGAAATTGTAGGGATAACATGTAAAAGAAAACTTGGCCTTGATGTTTCCACACGATGGAATTCCACATATTTGATGTTGGATGCTGCTGAGAAGTTTCAAGCAGCATTTGAGAAGTTAGAGGATGAGGATCCTGGGTACATGGAATTTTTTAACCTCTCGGGTCCTCATTGTTCTATTGATTGGGAAAAATCTAGGGCTTTTGTGATTTTTTTGAAAACATTCTATGATGCAACCAAATTGTTTTCATCTTCGCAAGAAGTGTCGTTACATTCTGCCTTTCATAATTTGTCTGAAATTTTGTGTAAGCTTCAAGAAGCTTCCTTGAACATGAATACATATGTGGCTCCAATGGTTTCAAATATGAAGACCAAATTTGATAAATATTGGGGGGATGTTGAAAAAGTGAATCATTTCCTATTTTTTGGAGTGATATTTGACCCTAGGTTTAAGTTCAGTTATGTTGAGTGATCTTTCAATGACATGCATGGGGATGGTAGTCCAATTGCTAAGAAAAGTATTGAGTGTGTCAAGAAAAGTCTATTTACACTATACAATTGGTATAAATCTGAGCACAGTAAGAATGTTGAGGCTGCCCTCTTAGATGCACCATCCGAGAGCACTTCTCTTGGAGAAACAAGTACCCAAGCTAGAAAACCTACACTTTTTACAAGGGCTGATGCATTTAAACAACACTTGAAGGATAAAGTCATTGTTGATAATAAAAATGAACTAGAGAAGTACTTAGGTGATCCATGTTGGGTTGATGCTGAAAATTTTAACATTCTTAAATGGTGGAAGGAGAATTCAACTCGTTATCCTATATTAGCTACTTTGGTTAGGGATGTTTTGGCAACACCTGTTTCAAGTGTAGCATCTGAAAGTGCTTTTAGCACGGGTGGAAGGATTTTAGACATGTATAGGAGCTCTTTGAGTCCAACAATGGTTGAGGCGCTTATTTGTTCTCAAAATTGGTTGATGCCTTCGGACGAGAACGATCCAAAAGTCCTTGATTTACTTGAAGAATATGACATAACTGTTTCAATAGTTTCAGGTACATAGTTAATCCTTTTGTCCTTTTTAAAAATTATTTGATAAAGTTAAACATCATCTCATTACAATTTTCTTATATGGTTGTAGAATTTCAAGTTGCTTGTGTTGTTGGAGCAGCTGCTCCTGGGCAGGCTGGCCCGATTTAATTAGCTTTTAGGTATGAAAAAATTAAAAGTTATATACTAACTGTTTTCTAAGCCATAAACTGAATATTTTTATATTTTTATGTGCAGCCACTTTTTTGGAGTCGTGAATGACTTGAATTTTTGAAGTCTGAACGACACAACTGACCTATATCAGTCTCGCACATCAATTCCCGCACAGCACTGGATCCATTTGAAAATGATACAAGTTAATTTTTGGTAACTCTTTATTCATTTTGTTTTAATTCCTCCTTGTTTTAATTTTGTTTGTGAAATGTATGGTTCCAATCATTTTAATTTTGTTTTAATTCCTGAACACATGATTGTTGTTATTTTTAGCTTCCATCGCGCCTATATATTCAGTTGGAATCAAAAGTGTCCAGAGAAGTTTCTCAAAGAAGTTTTGGGGATGCCATGAGAATGGTGAGTTCTATTACAATGTTGTGTTAACTTGCTTTTGCTACCTTTTATTATTTTTTGAATTTACTGTCTGAGTGCTCTGCTATCACAGAAATTTCACCCACTCAGTTTTAGTTAAAATAGAAACCCACACCAAGTGAATTGGAATTTGGTTGAGATATATGGTGGTGATATAGAGCTTTATGGCCTTGTATCTGTTGACGCCCCTTTTTATAATAGAGTATATTTCTAGGACTAATACTATTTTCATATATATTGTAGTTTAAAAAAATGCAGCAGGGGAATTTGAAGTTATACGACTCAACTCTAGCTACACTTTCAGTTTCTTTCAGCAGAGAACTACAGTTAGACTTAGCCGAGTCTTTGTTGAATCAGATTTCTGATTGCTTGTATCCACATCCTTACAATGCTTTGCTGGCATCATGTGATGCACTGGTGAGCTCAATTAGGAAACTTCAAACTATAGCAATTACTGAATTGAGTCTTTTGTATGCTACTTATATTACTGAATAATCTGGTAGTACAAGGTGAAGCACAGTAGTATAGCAATTACTTTACAGAAAAAGGAAACAAGGAAACTCAAACTATTGTGTTCCTATAAGAAATTTCTCCACTTGGATAATTTTCTAGCGCAGTTTAATAAGCCAGGGCCCATCAAACAAATGAATGTATTTTTATTACTATAATGTTGTTGGTTACTGTTTGTTTGCCTTGGATTTGTTGTAATGACATGCTAAGTCCTCCTTCATTTCATCAATAGGCTGCATAGGAAAGCCCCTATTAGGCTGAGCAACTGAATTTAAAAGTGAACTATCTCTAACAAAAATCCTCTTGTATTTTGGTGCTTATACTGGCTTACATTTTATCTAATCAAAATTTGCAGAATCAACCTGAGTGGGCGGTGCGGGTGTTTGCAAAGATGAGGCTGCATAGTCATTGTTCATTGAAAAATTTAGTAAGTTCTGTAATGTTTCCATTTTTTATCCATAATTTAAGGATGATGCAATCTTATGTGGAATTCCTTCTGCTAGAATCTATGAAGAACTTAAATATGTGCTTGAAAGGGAGGTATTCAATTGAGTAGTCAATAACATGTTCCAGGATGCAAATGAGAATGTAGAGTATGCAAAAAATTTACTTGAAAGGTCATGCATAATTTTGTTTAGAAGCAAAAGCTTTGAAATAAATTATTTCTAAAATAACACTTCTCTTCTCTTGCAGCTTACAGTGGAACACTTCTCTTCTCTTGCAGCTTACGGTGGGTGTTTAAGTGCTGGAAATATGATGGTGAACAAAAATTATAATTAGTGTTGGTTGTGTCATCATGTTGGCTTTTAATGTTAATTTATATATGAAGGATGCATGTAATTTAAGTATTCATAGTTAAGCTTTCTTTTAATGTTGGCATCTACAAAAACTACCTTATAGACTTTATGTGCAAAATTGAATGTATTATTTTGATATAATATTTGATCATAGTTTATTTGGAATTTACAATTTGATCATAGTTTATTTGGAAGACAGTGTAAATTAGAACGTAAAATAGTGTTAAATTGGGTCATTTATTATTTTTATTATTGCTTTATATTTATTATTTAATATTGTTTTAATTAAAAAAATTAAGATATAATTGAATTTTTTATGACAATTTAATATTAATTAATCAAACAAACCGATCAATTTTAACCGATAAACCGATTAAACCGAATCCGATCAAACCGATTACAATTTTGGTCGGAATTGGGCCTAATATTTGAATCCATGGTTTTACATGATTTGACATATTAGGCCCAAATCCAGTCCAAACCGACCAATGTCCACCCTTAGAAATAAGTTACAGAAAGGGAATAATCTACTGCAATCTGCAGACAACATTCAGAAATTGCCTAATTCAAAAAAACCAAATTAAACCCAAGAATTAAAATTGCAGACAGATAAATGTTCTTCCTATTTTGATAAAGTTTGAAATTGCTATAAAAGGTAGAACTTACAGTAGAAACGAGGGAGAACAAAAAAGAGAGGAGGACAAAAAATGCAGTAAGGAAAAAGAGAAGCTATTGTAAAGAACAGAAACAACAGAAACAGAGAAATTTTTACAGAAGAAAACAAGCTTGTTCACCACTGCCGACATCGTTAATCCACAAACACTGCGGATTTGTTCATTGTGCAACCGCCAAGCACGCAGCTTCCCGAGACACACCGCGACAATCCTCCTTCGGATCTGCCATTCGCGAGCTCACGCCACCATCAAACGAGTCTCAACCTTTCATCGGCGATTCAATAACTGTGCAGGCAGCCGAATTCCTTCAGCACACCCTCCGATCTGAATATCCACCGCTAAGAGGTAAGTACCTTTTCATTTTTATTTTGAAATACATTTGTTTGTTGGATTTATGCCATGGAGTACTTGAATTGGATATAGGTAGAAATCAGAAGATGGTGAGAAAGAGGGTATTGAAATGTGAAAGAAGGAGAAAGTTAATTTGAGGCGTTGTTGTTCTTTCACATGTGAGAATAAGTTATATTGTGATGTGTTCATTTCTTATCCTTTAGTTTTTATTTTTTTTTAATTATTTTTGATATCACCTGCCATGTGTCTTGTGATCATTGGTCCTTGGTGTTCTCCTTGAAAAAAAATCAAAAGGAATTAAGTTAATGTTTATTCTATTATGTTGAAAACAACGACAACTAGGAAGCAACGTTTTCCCATACGGCTAACTTTTGATTGTTTTCTTTCTCTTTTTTTAATGTAATTAATGTAATGCTTTTTTTAAATTATTATACTAATAATAGGTAAAATAGAATTAAGTTAGGAAGATTGGGCCTTATTTCTAGTACGACCTTCTATCTTACTTTGCACCCCCTAGGCGTTTGTTTTAATTTAATTAAATCTAATTTTTCCTATTTAACTTTATATTAGTTAATTTGATTAATTAAGTTATTAATGCAGTGTTAGATTAGTTAATTTAATTTCCCTTAACAACGTTAAAAAAAACATGATTAAAATCCAAAACTTCTAAAAATCATTGAACATGTACATAATCCAAACTTTTTTTATAATCAAAATTAATTCGACATTTTTATAATGGGATTGATAGGTTTTTCATCCACCATATCCTCGAATAAAGTGATTGATCGACTCATCATCTATCAGTTAATTATTCAAAAATCAAACAATTAAAATTCAACGCGATTCACCAAATTATTACATCCGCGAGCTACACGTGGTCAATATCTGGCCACGTGATAAGGGGGGCTATATCAGACTCCTCTGCTATACATCTAAAATATCCAAACAATCGCCAAACTACTTTTTTCGTAATAAATTAATTCGAACAATTAATTTTCGAAAAGGAATACAAATATGTTTAAATTAACTGCGTATTTGGTCTAACAAACTCCGCTATTCCTATTCTTAGACCACATACGCGGGAAATTCAAAATATATTTTGCAATCCATAAAAAACACAAACAAATCGCGAACTACGAAAATGAGACTCTGATTCCTCCTAAGGAGGATACGTAGGCATATGATCAAAAATCGTTGCGAGTCCCCCTAACTAAAAAATAAACACTTTTCCCCTAAATAATAATTAAAAATCCTATTTCCCAAGATTGTGTTTCTAAACCTAATATCCTTGTGAACAAGGTAGATAAGGGGTGCCTAACACATTCCCCTCGTCTAGAACCGAGTCAAACTTAGAATCTCTGAATTTCTTTTAGGGTTATTCCTTTATACTCCCTTCCTTTAGGATAAAAATTAAGGGTGGCGACTCTATCTAAAAACCAGGTACAACAACTGCACAAACTGTTGAGCCATTAGCGTCATAGGCATGTCGTTCGTCATCGACATCCAAACCAACCCATCACCACCATGACGTTCTACTTCCTCACACGCGAGTGGGAGCTATGACGACCTACCGTCAACGTTTCAAAGGGCATGATGCTCTAGGTAGAGGTGTACACGAATTGGGTAAATCCAATAAACCCAGTGAAACCCACCCAAACCGGTCAAGAAAAGTGGATTAGTTAGGTTATTAGGTGAATACAATTTTCAAAAATGAAAACTCATTCAAAATAATTGGGTTATGGGTAAATCCACACCTAACCCACAAAACCAATGGGTTATTGAGTGACTTTTTTTTGGCTTTTTTTGTTGTAATTTAATAAGTGACGACTTTGATGTTATTAATCTTGGTTGCTTCAATTTCAACCTTTTGAACATTTTTATTTTGTAAGTAATGATTTTAACTTATTTAGGATGTCACACTTTGATTATTTTGATGTTAATTCTTGTAAGTTACAAGTATTTTATACAATTCTAGGTATCACTGTAATGTAAGTTTCATTTTTGCAAATATGTTTATGATAAATCATATTCCGCATTTATACATTTGATGTTTAAAAAAATAGCGACAATATGTTAAACTATTTATTAAGAAAATTTGTGACACGTCATTAATAATTATATAAGGAAGAAAAAATTGGATAATCCACTATCCAACCCAACCCACAAATTTGTAGGTTTACTCAAACCGACCCAATGATATCATGGGTGATTATTTTACCTCACCCAAATCGGTGTACCATGTACGAGTTAGAATATGGTTTTGGCTATATTCAACTCAAACTGACCCATGTACACCTTTAGCTCTAGGTGTCACCAAGCTGACGCCCGTCAACGACTTTCAGAAGCAGAAAATATGAATTCTACAATGAAGCTTAATCCTAACTCCAAAGTGTCATCTCCTATACTCCAAATTCAACCAAAAATAATACATACATATCATATAATCATTCATAGCACATTATTTCCATGGTTTAACACACTTAATCACTTAAATTTTCCCACCCTAACAATGGTTGAAATATGTTATCAAACTAAAATAGAAAATACAACCAATAACAATGCACATATTTCTTCACCAACATCATCACGCAACATCAAACTATCATCAAATTTTAGAATTAAATCAAAATCCCCATTGCCCTATTGGGGATTAAAGACTATTCTACTCTACCACTCATACATATATCTTTTATTGAGATTATTCTCCCACTTACCTGATGATCCTAGCTGCAATGAAATATTACACCTGAGTTCTTCTTCCTCTATCTCCAATTTACCATTTCCCTTCTCAATTGTAGATATTAACAAGTTTTTAGGCTACTCTCTCTTGATCTTAAATATTAGGCTAATCTAACAAAACAACTTCTACCCCACTCAATCTCTCCTCTAACTCCTTCACCTCATATTTCTACCAATTCACAATTCAGCCAAAAGCCTCTATTTCTCTTTTTTCTTATTTATTTAAATAATAAATTAGAATACTCCTTATTTTAATTAAAAAAATTCTAAATAAATTCTAAATCATTTCTCTCAACTTCAATAATTTTCAGCTCACTCTTTACACCTCTTTCCATAGAACACCCCATACCCTCTTATTTAACTACTCACACACAATAATTAAATAAAATACTTAAAATTCATCAATAATTCACAAACAATCAAATTGAAATAATTTAATAAAACTAAGGTGTTATACATGTCATAAGATGTTATTCATGATTGCTATTTTGTTTAAAGCTTAAAATGTTCATTTTACTCGTCACATTGCACTCTTGAGATTATATGAAATTGCATCTTGCTAGGTTTTAATATTTTCTTGAGTCTTGAATTTTAGTTTTGTTCAAGTGCAAAAGCTTAATTTTGAAAAAAATTTAATCAACGTATTTAAACATATATTGTCTGACTCTATACTTTGACACTTAAAAAAAAGATTAAACCTAATATTAACTTGTTAGCATATTTCAAAACTTTGGGTCATAATGTAGCATATTTTAAAATCGTTCATTAAGATGAGATATTGGTTACTATTATTCAATTATTATTATTATTAATATGCTTTATTTTATTCAATTATGGTTATTACAATTAATATGCTTTATTTTATTTTGACTTAAATTATTATTATAACTATTTTTATAACAAAATTATTATTATTATTATTGTTATATTATTATTACTATTATTATTTTTCTTAATTAACGTAATTTTATCTATTATTATTATTATTATTATTATTATTATTATTATTATTATTATTATTATTATTATTATTATTATTATTATTATTATTATTGACAACAACAATAAATAAAAATAAAAATTATAAAAAGAAACACACACTTATTTCTCTATCGTTTTCTCTGGACTAATCCCTAGCAATCGACGGAAACTCTATCGACTCACACACTCTGCCGCCTCATTCCCGCCGGCGATTTTTTCTCTCCGGCGCCAACCTTCACCGACGAACCGCCTCTACCGAAACCAAAGGTTCGTTTCTCATTCACTTAAATTTCTCTAAATGCTTCTCCTTTCTACCACATGATCTACTCTTGACTGCCATCTGCATTCCGTTTTCAAATCTTGAAATCGATTATCGCTATCGTTTTTCAAGCAATTGTTACATCGATGCTTTGAATTTCATATTATTTGGAATTGTAGTTACGCGGTGTAAATTATTAACGAATCATTTGGTTTTTCAATTTTTGATTTCCTTTTTGCAATCTGTTTTGTTTTAGGTTTTTCTTAGCTATGCATGTGTTTGTCATTCTGTTTTACTAGTACTGGATTGCTGAATTTTCTGCTGTAGAATGTAATGTTCGTTTCTCTAGTTGTGGAATTAGTCGGTTTTCAGTGTTAAACAACCAATTAATGTAGCAAGGAAATTGTGTTGGGATGAAAGTTTTATTTCTTATGCTACTGATGCGTATGTTTGGTTCTATGGTGAAAATAATTAATTGATTATGTAAAATTGATTCCAGGTAATTATACATGAGTTGTATGAGTTTTGGTATAATCTTACAATTAGTGTTACGATTGCATGGTTTACAATTTTCTTCCCCCTTTCCGATTTTGCGTAAATCTCGATTTTAACTACTACCTTGATCCTAATCTTATTAAATTAAAATAATCCAAATTTTATCCATATCTGAAAGTTACTGCCTTAGAACAGCAAATGGGGAAGAAAAATTAGCAGCAGTTATCTACAATAAGATACGAAGAAAGAGCTGTGCGAATTTTTAAATCATGCTTCTTTCCATCATGTCATTTGTTATTTCTATTTTGTTATTTTTATTAAGTATCACTTTCAAGTTGGCGTTGTTTTTTTATTAGGGGAGTAGCAAATAAATGATTGGCTTTTCCAGGACATATTGTATAGAGCATGTCTAATCCTAGGTGTCATAGCAGTGTGTCTGGCTTGATGTTACTGAAGTAGTTTATATGTCTTTGATAACATTTATGTTATTTAACAATGACTTTTATGTAGATGCAGATTATTTAAAGGCGTAGAGGTCTATTGATGCACTGTATTGGTTGCCAAAAAATATTTATGACTGTGTTTGTTGGATAGCATATTTGATAGTTGGTACTTAATACTGAAGGCAAAGTGAGATACAAAGCGTTTGGAATGATTTGTTATGGCCCAACAGTCATCCAGGCTTCAGCGCTTGCTTACTCTCTTGGACAGTATCCTCCATATTTTCTTGTTTACTCAACTTAATATATATATATATATATTTCTTTTTTGACTTTTCTTTAACCGAATCTTTAAAGCTGGATCAACCCAAGCAACAAGGTTGACTGCCGCCCGACAGATAGGGGAGATTGCGAAGTTGCACCCTCAAGACTTAACCAGTCTTCTTAAGAAGGTATTGGTTTTTCCAATGTTATGTTCATCTTGCTTTTGTTGCAAACTTGCAATATCAAATCATACATATGTACTGTCTTCTTTGTATGCCAATTATGCTAAATACCCTGGTCGAGAAGACAAAATTGGTAGTGAAGTCGTACTCTTTCACCTCTCTCTTTCTAAATTGTTTCGACATAAAAACCAATTTTCAGCTAGCAGCCTCTACTATTGCAACCTTTTGGAGTGGTTATTTCCTTGACATGGTAATATTGCCACTTCATCTATCATCTATGTTGTTAATACCACTGCAATCACGAAACAGAAATGACCTCTAGTACAAAATTATTTGCTGTTCCACTCGCGTTCGACAGTTGCAGTGTTTGCAAATAAATATTAGAATAGAAGCTATCCCGCTACATGCTACATTTCTATCCTAGGACCGGGGTCAGCCGCTTTGTGTCGCTATCCAAGACTAACAACATAGCCCTTTATTGAAGTAATGGAGATTGAAAAGCTTAATGATTACTTGCTACTCCTATTCTTGGTATAAGTGTTTAAAATGAAATTCGACTATCCTCTTTTGTAATAACTAATAAGGGTGTGCTAAAGTTTTGCCACATATAATATTTTAATCTCTTGACATAATTTGTTTTTGAAAATTTGACAAAATACGTTTAATGTTTTTAAATACCAATATTGAATAATAATGACTGTTTTTCTTTTCTTATTTTATACATTGAAAGTGTGTGAATCATTTGTCAAATTGATTTTAACAACCTGTTCTATTGATCTTCAGGTTTCTCAATATCTGCGCAGTAAAAAATGGGATACAAGAGTTGCCGCTGCTCATGCAATTGGGTCCATTGCTGAGAATGTTAAGCACATAAGCTTGAATGAACTTATTTCTTCTGTTGTAACAAAAATGTCTGAGAGCGGGATATCATGCAGTGTTGAGGATCTGTGTGCATGGCCTTATTTACAAGCAAAAATTACAGGAAGCTCATTTAGAAGGTTGTTCAATCAAATGATTATTTGAGCTTTTCCCATGGGAAGTACATTACGATCTTTCGAAATAGAAAAAATGGTAGAGCCAGTAACATAAGAAAATTGGTAATGCAGTACAGGACTGTCTAGTCCCATGCATATAAATTTTTTAATCTGTAACAGCAGGGGAGAAGATAACCAAAGAGGTGTATAAACAATCATTTGCATAATAGGTTCAAGGGCAAAGAGAACCTTTGAAATTTTCAGCTTCATGCTCTAAGTTTATGCATACAAAATTGCATAAAGTGAACACTGCCACTATGTTATAGCTCCTTATTTTTTTACCAAACCTTTATAAAATGAACCACATGAAGCTGTTCTAAAGTAAAACACATCCAGGGTTCACCATGAACTTCAAGTCATTTGTTTCCTGTTGTTTGGGAACCGTTTTCCCCTTTCTTTATTAACATTGAACATAAATTTTGAAATACTTACGTAATGAATTATGCCCCTTGACAGCTTTGATTTGAATAAGGTGCTTGAATTTGGAGCTTTATTAGCATCAGGAGGGCAGGTAAAAAATTCTTGTTAAAATATTTTTCCCATAACTTTCCTTGGTTCCAAGTAAATACATAATTTTAATGTCTAGTAAATACTATCTTGTTAGAACAGTAGTTTGTCCTATTTCTTAAAACTGAAACTTCAAACTTGGTATTAGTGCTGAATTTTGTCTATATAAGGCCAAGTTGGTAGTAGATTTGTATTGGGTCAGTTGAACTTGTTCTGACTTTGCAAGTGTTGTTCATAAACTGGTTTTTGTGCTTCATACATTGTATATAATGAAAGACCTATGAATTGCTTTTGAAGTTTTCACTTCTTTTGATTGCATGTGTGTTTATTGCACAGACTATTTATGCCATGTTCCATTTCAGGAGTACGATATTGGAAGCGATAATATAAAGAACCCAAGGGAGCGTTTGGTTCGCCAAAAGCAAAATCTCCGGCGCCGTTTGGGTTAGTAAATTGTTTCATGTTATAATATCATCTTAATGCCTGGGATTGCTAAACATTTATGACTTAGTATCCACTCTAGTTGATATAACTGGACACTTGTTCAGCACCTGACTATATGCTATGGTGGCGAGAAAGCAAGACTGTGTTATATGAAAGTCAAATGGCCCTGTATTATGGGAAGTCAAACGAGTAGCCGTTGTGGCATCCCAATTCTTGGGTGCTCTTTCTACTGTTTGAAGCAGTCAATTGATTTGTTTTCAGTACATATATATGCTTGATGCAGACCGAAAGGCCGAAATCACCATGATTTTTGTTATAAATGCCCAAGAGAGTGACACCCAATTACAACCCCACGAGGTGTGATACAAATGATCCTAACTAAGAGAATCCTAACAAACAGCCCCTAGGGAAGTGTGTGATTCGTATTGTTGTGAAAGGGAATATGCGGAGAATGAATGTTGGGTATAGTAAGTTGGAATTCAGTTGGACATTTGGGAGCTGACTTGGCCTCTTGAATTGAATAAGCTTCACTTCGCTTCCGGGTTTTCCTTTTGTCTGTAGGACCTGCTATCATTTTGATAACATGCCTTCATTTCCCATTCATATAGTGAATTTAGTTTCTATTCTTTGTTCAATTTCTAGTATTCATCATTAGTATCAAAGGTCTCGATCTCAAAAGCTTGAATGGTAAACATGGGAGTAGCAATAATATCTAGCCTAGCAGAACACATGTTTCTGTAATGGAGAACAAATGTGAATAGGTTGAATAGTTGTTGTAGGATGAGATGCCTTTTCGCTTGAACAATATCATAAGAGCCAACTCATACGAGGTTTGTTGACAACAAAAGAAGTAGAGGTATCCAAGACATGTCCCTTTTGCACTAAGATCGAGGGACGCGACTTGAGGACTGATGTACCACACGAGGACAAAAAGGGATTTTCATATGTTTATCATAGAGGAGGCATGCGCCTTGATTAGCTTATGAAAGAACATTCCAAAAGAAATCTATATCAGAGAACCACTCTTTTTTTCTCTCTCTCTGCTAACACTTATCCTAACTCAACAAAGTTTGTGTTGCTGATTTCAGAAATCCTTTTCTGTCAATGCAGGTTTAGATGTCTGCGAACAATTTATGGATATCAATGATGTAATTAGAGATGAAGATCTTTTGGCACATAAATCAGACCCGTATCTCAACGGCATGGATCATAAAGTTTTTACATCTTGTTCTGTACATAACATTCAGAAAATGGTTGCAAATATGGTTCCTAGTGTCAAATCAAAGTGGCCGAGTGCTAGAGAACTGAATCTTTTAAAGCGCAAAGCAAAAAATACCTCAAAGGACCAAACAAAGAGCTGGTGCGAAGATGGAACAGAGGCTTCAGGCACTCAAAATTTGACTTCAAAAGGCACGTGTCCTGATTCGGTAAATCATAGTAAGGTATTATTCTGTTTTACTGGCTAATTTTATGGTAATTTTGGGCCCTCTGTGGCTATGTCTTTACAGTTACACATTTATTCGGTTGCACTATTATAGCAGTGTTATCAAATATCCGTCGTGGCAGTGCTATGGCAGATATACATGACAGTTTTTGGGCTCACTGCACTGATAAATATTGGCCGATATTGCGGGTTTTCTACCATAATCCGCTAACACTGATAAATATCGTCCGGTATGGTGGAATTTTGGTTCTCCTCCATCCGCTATTTGACAACACTGTATTATAGTTGGTATTAGTCATTGCTGGTAGCAGTTATCTGTTATTGTTAACTTTTAATATTATTATCAATTTGATTGGCACATCCTTGTAAGCAATAAAACAAGTTTCATTCTGTTTATATTTAGAAATTCTATCTCGACCTTAAAATTATTGTAATGCAAATTCATTCAATTTTCATCTTCAATCAAAAAGCCACAATTCAGATCAATTTTGTTGCCACTTTATATAGGCATTCACACAAGTTAATCACGACGAATACGGATTTGAGCATGATGAAGATGGACAATGGCCTTTCAGCACTTTTGTCGAGCAACTTATTATTGATATGTTTGATCCTGGTAAGCCTTTTAACCCAACTGTCATATTTTGTAAAATTTGAAGAAGAATGTGGGATATATAGTTATATGTGAGTTTCACATTCATTTTATAATGTTCTCTGAATGATTTTTTTAAATGCTGTTGTTAGTTTGGGAGGTACGGCATGGTAGTGTGATGGCATTGAGAGAGATTTTAACACATCAAGGTGCTTCTGCTGGAGTGTTGAAACACAACCCAAACTTGGGTGGGACTTCATTTGTGGAATTAGAAAACAAAAATACATCAAACGTGTTGAAGAGAGAAAGGGATATTGATTTAAATATGCAAGTTTCAGCAGATGATTGTGTCTTGAACATGAAGAAGCCAAAACTTGAAGATGTATCATTATCAACATCTATGGATAGCGTGATGACTTGCAGTAATGGAGGTGACACTGAAAACATCATTAGTTCTGAAACACAGGGTTGCACTTTACCTATAGACTATGGTAATGGGAAATTTGATGGTAGTTCTGTTGACATGAATGTGGAAACTCACTATGATGGTTTACATGATGCAAACAAGCAACCTGCTAATATAGCAGATCAGAAAGGTTATTCTGATGACCAAAAGATTCTCTCTGGAAACCCTAATATGCTGAGAAATCTTCCTCAGAATTGTGAGCTGATGAACTCCGTCAAAGTGGCTAGAAGTTCCTGGCTTCGAAACTGTGACTTTCTTCATGACTGTGTCATTCGCTTTTTGTGTGTATTGTCACTTGACCGGTATGATATTTTGTTTTGTATATCTTCTAATAAATGAACTAGATCCTTCTTAACCTTGACGCTACCTATTCACAAATTTCTTTTGTCTGTTCTTACCATTGGTTATTATTGTCAATGTGATACTGTGACACTGTTTCTCTGCAGCAACTATTATTTTTTGATAATGTCTGGTTATTTTATTTCAGCTTTGGAGATTATGTATCTGATCAGGTTGTTGCACCAGTGCGTGAAACCTGTGCACAGGCATTAGGGGCTGCATTTAAGTATATGCACGCAGCACTAGTAAATGAAACATTGAACATATTGTTGAAAATGCAGGTAAATATCATTTAATGGCACAATTTCTTTTTAAATGTGAGCATTGCTTTAATATGCATCAGCTGTTCTGTTTTTTCGTCGCCCTTTTCCTTCCCATGTCAGCAGTTTCTTTTATAATATGTTTTGGTTTGAGTTCTTTGACTTATATTAGTTTTTAATCTTTATGCTTCTGCTGTTGCCTTTTGTTCAGTGTAGTCCAGAATGGGAGATTCGTCATGGCAGTCTTCTCGGTATCAAATATTTAGTTGCTGTACGGCAGGTGCATATCTATTTGCTGCCACTTCTGTTTTAGGTTATACTAAGTCTAATATATGATAGATGAGGCACATAGTTATTAGTTACTTTTTATGCACATGTTTTTTGGCCTTAGTTTTGTGTAAGATATTTGAATGATATGCATCCATACATTGGATACAGAAACAATGTAGTACAGGTCTCATATGAAGTTAGCTTTTTATCTGCACAGTAGTTATTTCTAGGAAATTCTGTTCCCCCCCAAAATTTTTTTTTCACATTTGTATGAGCAATTGTTCCGGTTCTCTTTTTCGAGTAGTTGTATTATTTCTGTTTCCGGTGCTTCTCGACATGTGATATAATTTGAGAATAGTGAGTCAGAAAAATGAAGGAAAGTGACAAAAACTAAGAAAACAATCCAATGTTTTAGATCAAAAGCTAAACTTGTGTTATCAATTATTGTTTCGGCTCTCTTTTCTAGTAGTTGTGTTATTTCTGTTTCCTGTGCTTCATGACAGTATCGGGCATTGGAAAATTGAGACTCAATTTAGCTAGTCTGTCATTTGTAGTTCCATATATTGAAACCCAGTCTTTTTTGTTGTGTGTTTCTTTTTTTCTATTAGTCTAATGTGTCTTTTACTGGCATAGGAGATGCTTTCTGATTTGCTTGGACGTGTTCTTCCTGCCTGTAAATCTGGGTTGGAGGACCCCGATGATGATGTCCGAGCAGTTGCTGCTGATGCTTTAATACCAGCTGCAGCTGCAATTGTTGCTTTGCAGGGTCAAACACTACATTCAATTGTGATGCTATTATGGGATATATTGCTTGATTTGGATGATTTAAGTCCGTCCACTAGCAGGTATTTTACAGGGTAATTTTTTTGTAAATGAAATTACCTGTCTGCTTAGTTTTCCATGCTCCATGTTGATGAGCATTTGCTTTCATATCTTATTTTATTCATGGTACAATGTTAATTAATGGAAGCAAAATTAGTTGGTGATAGCATTTTGGTCGTTGTTAAATGAAACTACTGAAATTTTAGCATTGTGCCTGTGCACTCAGTTTGTTGTCAAAATGTCCTAAACAAATTATAAGATATTTTTTTATCATGTTTTTGGGTCTGATTTTGTGAGGATCTATGACTGTGTTCCATTTTTGTAGTATTGTCATATAGTGGCTGTAGCATAGCGGAATTTGAGCAAACCACTATTTCTCACAATATGATCAACGTTGTCAAATAGAGGCTATATAACATAGTAGAATTTGAACAAACCTCTACTTTCCACTATCTAGAATTGACAACACTGATTTTTGGTTGCGTTATCCCTTTCTACCTATCAATTTGCTGTTCAAAATTTCTATTTGACTAGGATTGCAATGTGATAGAAACTGGTACCAATTGATATATTTACTGAATAGTTATTATTTATTGTTGATTAGTACAAAAAGATGGTGGAAATTAGACTTCAGTGGTTTGGACATGTAGAGAGAAGACATGTAGATGCATGTAGAGAGTATACATGTGGATGCATGTAGAGAGTAGACATGTGGATGCAGTAGTAAGAAGAGTAGATCAGATGGAGGGTAGTCAAACCGTTGAGGTAGAGGAAGACCTAGAAAAACTATAAGAGAAACTATTTAGAATGATTTTGAGATTAATGAGTTGGATAAAAGAATGATTTTTAATAGAATGTTATGCCAGTTTGATCCATGCCGATCTCACTCAGTGGGAAAAAGTTTGGTTGTTGTTGTGTTATGGAATAATAATTATTTAATATTGAATAATTTCTGAAGAAAGGTTCCTAATCAGAGATAATTCATACAAATTTACACTTGAACAGGATGGAAATGTTACACAGAAAAGAATATACATTACGCATTTCCTACCAAGTTCCAAGAGTATGGTTCTCTTCCACCCAATTAACCACTTACTAATTTTTTTATAATAACCGACATCAGCCTGCAGTTTCCCTTTTATTCACACAAGATATAACTAACTTAATTACTACTCATTACATAATACTTACACAAGAAGTGCCATAAGTAAAACTGCTATCATAAAATATAATATTTTATTAATAATAATAAATAACCCAATATTTCCATAATCTCTTATTTTAGTGAAACTTAGTTATAGAGAAACTTATTTAATATGATCCTACTTTTCTTATTGCTCTTGCTAGATTGTTTCAGACAATTTTCCTTTGAACTAATGACATATCTATGGTTGCTGGTTAAATGTGATGTATTCATATGCTTTGCAATAGTAGTTCAACTTTGCCATCATTTTTTAATATATATTTGAAGTAACTGAGTTTCAGTACCTTATTTTAGTTTAGAGAGAATGTTCAGGGAATAGAGGGGTTATATAATTTTAGACTGATTTCTTGATATTTTTTGGTAAACTTTGTATCTTGTTGAGACCAAAAGCACCAAACTTTTGCATGTTATATTAGACAAATTAACAAGTCATTTATCTGTTTGCAGTGTAATGAATCTGCTTGCAGAGATCTATTCTCATGAAGAGATGGTCCCAAAGATGTATAAAGTTTTTAAATTGGAAGACAGAGAAATTGAAAATGGAGCCGGTGCTTCTGGTGATGATGTGGAAGAAAATCCTTTTGTACTTTCAACTCTGGCGCCACGGTTGTGGCCCTTTATGAGGCATAGTATCACATCTGTCCGTTATTCAGCAATACGAACTCTGGTAATTTAGCATTCCTTGTAACTTAGTCATAATATAGTTTTTTTTACAAAATGCATTGGAAGGCTTAGCCAATTTTTTTCATTTTCAGGAAAGGTTACTTGAAGCTGGATATAAGAGACGCATGTCTGAGCTCTCTAGTGCTTCATTTTGGCCCTCTTCTATATTTGGAGATACCCTTAGAATTGTCTTTCAGAATTTACTATTGGAAACAAATGAAGAGGTTTTGCAATGTTCTGAGAGAGTTTGGAGTCTCATTGTTCAGGTATATAGATTTCATTGAAACTGTAAAACTGATTCTTTATTGAGAGTTGAAAATGATTGTTAAACTCTGACTTTGTTGGAAATCTGTATTTATATACTAAAAATCATTTCTAGCTAACCGTGTCAGTCATCTCAGTCAGTTATTCTTACAACATTGAAAGAATAATGATTAATGATATAATATAACTAGAAGTACTCGAGAAAAGATATCTACTAATAAATAATTATCCAATTGCCATGAATATAATAATGAGTTTCTCTATCTCAAATAACAGTTAGTTACAAGGCTTTAGTGGTGTACATTAAACCCACAGTAAGCTCGTGTGAACTTAATAAATCCCACAATATTACATGAATGAGTCCTTTAATAGACAGCGGGGGACTACCAAAAACCAAAAAAACTAACTTAAGTGAGACATATCATCTCTGACTATTAGTTAGGCCTAAGGACTATTGGAGACCATTGACAGTGTGCTGAGACTAATGACTGGAGAGCCTTCTGTTAGAGACAAAATTGAGAAAAGGGAAAAAAAGCACACTTACAAGAGTGACTTGGAATGTCAGGAAAATTGGCTTGATGCCTTTCTGTATTGCATTCCATACTAAATAATATTATCAGTAATTACATGTAATTACAAATTGTAATGACATATTCTATTGTCTAATTTATCTAACCTATTACAGGAAAGGAAATAATTTACAATAAAGGATAAGATCAATTCCTAATTAACATGGATATATGACCAACAAACAACTTAGAACTGACTGTAAGGTGTAACATATGACCCTGTACTCAACATAGATGTTACTAACTAACAAGCTCAAATAAAAAGATGTGCAAAACTGGACCAGAGAGAAATGTGCTAAGAAGACTTGGTGAAACACTAACAAACACAATAAATGAGCAGCATGCCAATACACACAATAGATGAAAAATATTGTGACCAAGGACCTAAAATTTTGAAGCCGCAGACATTGGGATGAAATCTCTGATAAAAGACGAAAACTGCAAAAAAGCTAACTGGAAATGTTCACAACCACAGAAATAAAAACCACGAAACAACAAAGAAACCTCTGGAACACTTCTTAAACTGGGGACTCACGAACTGGAAGTGGTCCCAACTAATCCAGGAAGGGCAGATGAGTCGAACAGAACCAGCGGCGACTTTGTCGGAGGTCTGAAGGGTGGTATGTGGCCTTCATGCACTGGCAGGACTGACGGCAGCGGAAACGCATGTTACTGTGTGTGAGATACTGGTTGATGGACGCTCTTCAGGGACTGGCTGATCTGACTCCGGCGAATCTGATGGAGGGGTCTGATAGTAGAGCTGTGTACGTTGGACATTTGACGGGACAGCTACATGTCAGACTAGTGAACAGTTTAGTAATACGAAGGGAGGTTAAAAATGAATTTATTTGGACATAACCTTGAGCTGCTGGAGTTATAAGGGTACCATCTACTTTGGATATTTTCTTGTTGCTAGGACAAGGTGAATAGTGCAAAAATGTGGGGGTAAAGGTGTCATGTGGTTAGTGGTTCCTAAATCCAGTATTAAATATTGGTTAGAAGGTGTATCCAAAGCATTAAATCCAAATGACAATTGAAACCTACCAAGAGGAGGTGAAAACGAGAATGTACCTGAATATGCTAGAGAACAAGTACAATATTGGTTCTCCAACTTACTGAAGAAGGATCTCACCCTCTCTTCTTCATCTTGGTTGAGTTAAACCACTCCTCTTTCTGACATATTGATTGATATCTTGCAACCATGTCTTGCTCAAGAGAAGAAAAAATGACCAGTAAACAGCAGTAAAAACGCTCCTGTACACAATTAAAATATGGGAGTAGCATCTGTAACCAAACAACAAAGGCCGATTGTCTGAAAAATCAGAAAAGCGAGCAAGAAACGCATAGATTTGAAGTGACCTACGAGCCAAGGTGCTTAGTTCAGAGTATAAACCCCCATAACGAAAAAGGAACAGGCTGTCTAGCTACTCCTGAAAGACGGTGAGGAAAAGCCCACACTATGGTAGTGCACAGCCTTCACGTGCCAGAAAAATGGCAGGAGACAAGATGCACTTGCGAGGACAGCCTTAACTTTTCTTACAAACAATACCGGCGCGATGACACACTCAAAAAGTTGTGAGAGAAGCTGCCCGTGGATGACTGCTTAATCTTTTTTATGAACAATACCAATGCGATGAACAGTTACTGCGGCGAGCAGTGCAAACAGATGAACAGTTCCAAAAAGGAAAAGATCTCAAAAAGGCTGCAATGAAGAAGTATAACAAAAGAAACTGCAAAGATGGCAGTTAGGATATATGCAGAAACTAGGCCCTTCAAAATCAAGAGCTCTGATGCCATGTAGAAAAATAATATTTGATATGTTTCAAATTTATGAATCATGTACAAGCACTAATCTGTTTATATAGGCTATTCTAAACCTAAAAGACTGACTAATGGACAAATGGACCAAATACAAATTACTATTAATAATTATAAAAACACATTAATTACAACAATTTCTCATCTAATAAGTTTTCTGCGTAATTGATGGCAGTGTTCTGTGGAGGACCTGGAGACAGCTGGAATGTCTTACATGACTTCCTGGATAGAACTTGCATCTACACCTTTTGGTTCTGCTTTAGATGCCTCAAAGATGTTTTGGCCTGTTGCATTTCCACGAAAAAGTCAATTTAGAGCAGCAGCTAAAATGAGAGCTGTGAGGATTGAAAATGAATATGGCGGAAATCTAGGTCTTGAATCTACAATATCAACTATTCCACATGATAGAAATGGAGATGTTCCTACGAATTCTGTCAAGATAATTGTTGGTGCTGAGGTCGACACATCTGTAACTCGTACCCGGGTAGTTACAGCAACTGCTTTGGGAATTTTTGCCTCTAAACTTCCAGAGGGTTCTTTAAAAAATGTTATTGATCCACTGTGGAGTTCAATAACCTCTCTTTCTGGTGTCCAGCGCCAGGTATGGATTTTTGACTTGCATATGACTATCCTGCAGCGAGATGTTTCTACCTTCCTTTTCTGTCTTTAATATCTTTTATGTATTTAGGTTGCATCTATGATTCTTATTTCTTGGTTCAAGGAGGTTAGGACCAGGAATTTGTCTGAAAGCCTCAATGGTATTCCTGCTTCCCTCAAAGATTGGTTGCTGGACTTATTAGCATGTTCTGACCCTGCGTTCCCAACAAAAGGTTCACTTATTCCTTATGCCGAGCTTTCAAGAACGTATTCGAAGATGCGTAGTGAGGCTGGTCAATTGCTAAGTGCAGTCAAATCTTCTGGTATGTTTAGCGAGTTATTGACAACAACCAATATTGAGTTGGATAACTTGAGTGTAGATGATGCCATTGGTTTTGCATCAAAAATTCCAGCATTGTGTAATGATAGTCCTGCAAATGAATCTTCAAGAAAGAACACTATGGATGATATTGAATCCTCAAAACAGAGGCTTTTGACAACTTCTGGCTATTTGAAATGTGTTCAGGTATGACTCAAAACAATTATCGTGATTATTATTATTATTTAGAATTTCTTGAACTGCTTTGGTATTACTTGGTTTTTTCATCATTTATCTGTTTTAAGTTATCCCCAGTTTATTTCCTGACATGTTTGTTACTGTTCTATGGGATGATTGGCAGAGTAATTTGCATGTTACGGTTACATCTGCAGTTGCAGCTGCAGTCGTGTGGATGTCTGAGTTTCCTACTCGTCTCACCCCCATTATTTTGCCTTTGATGGCTTCGATCAGACGAGAACAGGTGCTACCTATATCCTGACTGTATGTTTTATACATAATAATGCACGTTTAATTTACTGATAAAAATACCTGTCATTCTTTCAGGAGGAAATACTGCAAATTAAGTCAGCTGAGGCTCTCGCTGAGCTAATATATCACTGTGTTTCACGGAGACCTTGCCCCAACGATAAATTAATTAAGAATATATGTAGTTTGACTTGCATGGATCCCTCTGAGACCCCTCAAGCTAAATCCATTTGTTCCATAGAGAGTATTGATGACCAAGGTCTTCTGTCTTTCAGAACTCCTGTGACTAAACAGAAGTCAAAGGTGCATGTGCTGACTGGTGAGGATCGATCAAAGGTAGAGGGGTTTATAAGTAGACGGGGATCTGAGCTATCATTGAGGCTTCTGTGTGAGAAGTTCGGTGTTTTGCTCTTTGATAAGCTTCCTAAGCTGTGGGATTGTCTTACTGAGGTTCTTAAGCCGAGCTCCTCCGAATCTCTAATTGCCGCTAATGAAAAGCAAGCTATGGTAGCAATTGAGTCTGTTAGTGATCCTCAGACCTTGATTAACAATATCCAGGTTGGTGCCATCAATTTCTTCCTGTGAACTTGGCTCCTTACATATAAAAATTTTGCGTCGTTAGCTGTGAATTGGTATAGAGTTGATCTGCTACATCATGAGATGCAATGAATTTGTCAAAGAGATACTTCTTTCTGAGAGTTTGGTTGCTTTATTTTATTGTTTTGACTCACAAAAGAGCACTGGAAAACAATACCCAACTTCTGTGAATTTTCTAGATTTTGTTATGATTAAGTCTTTTCCTTTTAAACTAAAATGCGTGTCAATAGTTTCAAGATTGGTATCTGCATTCTTTAGTTATATATCATAGATTGATGACATGTTTTTATATTTCCTTTTTTAATAATTCAATAGATTCTTCAAATTTATCTATATGCATTTGAACCAGTTTTACTGATTGCAAAATGTATTGTTAAATATGCATCATGGTTTTCTTGTAGGTCGTGCGATCTATTGCTCCCTTCTTAAGTGAAGAGTTGAAGCCAAAGCTTTTGACACTTCTTTCATCCGTTTTTAAATGTGTGAAGCATTCTCATGTGGCAGTTAGATTAGCTGCTTCACGCTGCATCACTTCCATGGCTCAGTCAATGATGGTGAAAGTCATGGGCGCTGTGGTTGAAAATGCTATCCCTATGCTGGAAGATGCAACGTCAGTTCATGCTCGACAAGGATCCGGCATGTTGATTAGCTTTCTTGTTCAGGGGCTTGGTGTAGAGTTGGTACCTTATGCTCCTCTGCTGGTGGTTCCCCTTTTACGATGCATGAGTGATTGTGATCAGTCTGTCAGACAGAGTGTGACCCATAGCTTTGCTGCCCTTGTACCTTTACTTCCTTTAGCACGCGGTGTTCCTCAACCAATTGGAATAGGGGAAGGTATATCTAAAAATGCAGAAGATTTGCGTTTTCTGGAGCAGCTACTTGACAACTCTCATATTGAAGATTACAAGTTGTGCACTGAATTGAAAGTAACATTGAGAAGGTAAATTTGACTGTAGTTTTTTTTTTGTACGGGGTGGGGGGTGATTTGTCTTTTTTCCATTTTTACATTTACCCGCCTGTCTAGTTATAGGTTTTATGGAGTGTAGTGTGCTGGTTTAATGATTAAAACTTGATTCAACAATGGAATTCGGTTTTAAATCTCATAGTTCCTGCCGGTGTTTCCATAAAACTTCTCTTTGAAGTGTTCACAATGGAGTTGATACATATGCTAAATTCTTGAATCTTCTGGCTTGATCTTCTATGTTCAACCTTATTTTGATCTCATCACAGACAAACCACTCCCTCTTTTCTTTCTTCTATTTACTCGACATGTGACTTGTGTAATGTTTATTGACATTATTGGATTTGTTATCAATGTTTCAACCTTTCTTAATTTCATTTTGCTCCTTCTAGATATCAACAGGAAGGCATAAATTGGTTAGCTTTTCTGAAACGTTTTAAACTTCATGGAATTTTATGTGATGACATGGGGCTTGGTAAGACACTTCAAGCATCGGCAATTGTGGCCTCTGATATAGTTGAGCATCAAACTCAAATCACCAATGAGGATCTTCTGCCATCTTTAATTATTTGCCCGTCAACACTAGTTGGACATTGGGCCTTTGAGATAGAAAAGTATATCGATGTTTCAGTTATATCTAGTCTTCAGTATGCTGGTTCTGCTCAGGATCGAGTGCTTCTTAGAGAGAGTTTTTGCAAGCATAATGTTATTATAACATCATATGATGTTGTCCGGAAAGATATTGATTATTTGGGACAGCAGCTGTGGAACTACTGTATTTTAGATGAAGGACATATAATAAAGAATGCTAAGTCTAAAGTTACTCTTGCTGTAAAGCAGTTGAAAGCCCAACACCGCTTGATATTGAGTGGGACACCAATACAGGTTGGTGATTACTGATGAGTATATATTCTCATTAAAAGCAAAGCTTATCACCACTAATCTGATTTATGTGTTACCTTCTGTTGCAGAATAACATTATGGACTTGTGGTCCCTTTTTGATTTTTTGATGCCTGGGTTTCTTGGAACAGATAGACAGGTATCTTTTTGCTTCCTATCATTGTAATTGATGTTGTTACAGTAATTTAACTGCAACCCATGTTGGTACTTGCTATGATTTGGAAAAATGATACATTGATTGGATTCTTAGGTCATGAAATTCTGGGACAGAACTCTGATTAATTTGTCTTCATGAAATTGAAATGGTTAACCAAATGAAGTTTGGACATAATCCCTATTTCACTTAATTTTAAAAAGTTTTTTCTGCTTAAGGTCCTCTTTCACAATATCTGTTTTGTATATTGGGGAGGCAGGGGTTCCATGCAGACATCATTTTGTTCCTTATGTATTATCCCAAGTTAATTGTAACGTGATATACTCGACATGTCATAATCATATATCCTCAAAGGTATAGTTTCACTTGTGCTGTCCAATTTTCTTTGATGGGGGTGGAATTGAATGGTTACATCTGTTAGTGTACTAATTCTACATGTCTCAGCTCTAGCAAAGTTGGTAATATGCTTGATTTAAAATGTCAATTCACACATTTAACTTGTTCTAGTTAGGAAGTTTTTTTCAAATAAAGTTCATTTCTTTAAATACTGAGATAAATAAATTTGAATATTACTGCTGCTATACTGAATGGCTGTAAACTGTAAAGAAATTTGATAAAATTTGGCTAGAATTGGCCGTGATTTTTGGGGTTGTGGTTGGGTTAGTCAAAATGGAGGGACCATCCATCTATCCAATATTTTTGTGCAAAAGAATAATGGGTGTCTGGTATTTTCATAATTTCAATTGTTTCACCTACCAGAGCCAAATTTATGCCACTGCTTGCTGAAGTATGAAGCCATGAAATATGATTAACTTATGGGCTGTCTGTATTTCCTATGAAACTTTTCGTGGTGCGCAATGATTAGATTTATTGCATCAATGTTTTTATTTGCTTTTGCATTTTTAGAGATATAAATTGAATCCTTTTTGACCCCCTTCATTATCTCAATTCTCAGGTTGATTTAGTTCTTGACATGGTATAAGCCTTCGTTATAATGATTTGGAGTTTGGTGTTTGTCTCACCCTATGTCCTTATGACTAAATTTAAATAAGAAGATGCTAAAAGTGGGTTGGTTTATTGTCCACTTTAAGCTCGAAGTGCTCTCTGCATTATGGTTGTAGAGATATAAATCCTTTCTTATTTCTCTAATATACAGCTTAATCTTAGGGTGATTTTTACTCGAGCCGTCTATTATTGGTTTATCCCACAGAAACACTCCTCCCCACCAACAAAACAGAGTTCTGCGTACATTCAAATCTGTAAAATTTTCCTCACGGTCTTGTGCTTTTATGGCTAGCGTCCATTTCGTCGTATTAGCCATCTATGTAGTGCTTTGCTAACGAGAATGCGTACATGCCAAGGGTCAATACATTTTAACTTTTTTTTTTGTAGTTTTTGTCCCAATTAGCATTAATTCATTGCGGTTTTTTTTACAGTTCCAAGGCACATATGGAAAACCACTTATAGCTGCAAGAGATCCAAAGTGCTCTGCTAAGGATGCTGAAGCCGGAGCACTTGCCATGGAAGCATTGCATAAGCAGGTGATTTTCCGTTCACTCTTTATTGCATTGTAAAATTGTGTTTTCTTCTAATTGACGTAATTTTGTTCTCTAGGTCATGCCTTTCCTCCTTCGAAGGACAAAGGATGAAGTCTTGTCTGATCTGCCTGAGAAAATAATTCAAGACAGATACTGCGATTTGAGCACTGTACAACTTAAACTATACGAACAGTTTTCTGGTTCTCGTGCAAAACAAGAAATGTCATCGATTGTAACAACAAATGAGTCAGCTGCTGCTGAAGGAAGTAGCAGTTCTACTAAAGCGTCTTCACATGTTTTCCAGGCAATAAGATTTATATTTTTAAGAATTAATTATCGTTCCATCAATCTCTTTTTTTATTCTTTTTAAGCCTTATATCCATTCTATTTCTCAGGCGCTCCAATACTTGCTAAAACTCTGCAGTCATCCATTGCTTGTAATTGGTGGGAAGATTCCAGATTCACTCTCTACCATCCTTTTGGAACTATTTCCTGCTGGCTCTGATGTCATTTCAGAACTTCACAAACTCCATCACTCTCCAAAATTAGTTGCTCTTCATGAGATTCTTGAAGAGTGTGGAATTGGAATTGATGCTTCAGGTTCTGAGGCTGCTGCTGGCATTGGGCAGCATAGGGTTTTGATATTTGCTCAACATAAGGTAATATTACCCTTTTCATTTGGGCTTATTTCTTTCGAAGACTAATAAATAGTTTACTGATTTTGTTGTTTAAAAATTGTTTGTGTGCAGGCGTTCTTGGATATAATTGAAAAAGATTTGTTTCAGACACACATGAAAAAGTAAGATTCTAGATCCATTAATATTACTAAATTAGCTATTTAGATTTGCATTCTTGTTTAATAGCATTTTTAAAGTTTTTATTGAAAGCTTGCCACATGCTTTTGCATGGAATTATGATTCTTGAAATTGATTGACTTTGTAATTGATAATGACAACCTTCCTTATTTTCCTTTTTGCTGTACAGTGTCACATATTTGCGGCTAGACGGATCAGTTGAGACCGATAAACGGTTTGAAATTGTAAAAGCTTTCAATTCAGATCCTACCATTGATGTCTTATTGCTTACGACCCATGGTAACAAATTCTCTCTTCCTTCGATCTACTCATTTATTTTGAGGAAAATGCTAACATGTGCCCTTAAAGGGCACATGTTAATGAACTATGTATAAAAATGTTATCTTGGAATTCATTCATTTAATTCCTTGAAAACTTAAAAATTGTTCTTTTCAACAGTTTCTGTTTTAGATTCCTAACATGTTAGCAAAACACTTATTTATATATAGTTTTTTATAACAAATTTATTTGTCTTGTTATTTTAGCTATTTTCTCTATTTGCAGTGGGCGGGCTTGGTTTGAACCTTACATCTGCAGATACCCTTGTATTTGTGGAGCATGACTGGAATCCTATGCGCGACCTTCAGGTAACTCGTGATTCATTCAATGTTTTTTGTTGGTTTTCCTTTACAGTTCAAGACCACTCTAGTTTTGATAAGTAGCATTCAAGGAATCAATATAAGTCATGTGATTAAGTTGTCCAATAGGTCTTTAGTTAGTTTTCTCTGATTAAACATTAGTTGTAAGTGGTGGTTGGGTTTTTCTAACTTGGTCGATACACTGCCTTATTGCATGGCCTCTTACTATCTTTAATGCCCAACACTCTCAACTTACGTTAAAAGGAGTGTCTTTTTTGTGCAATGACACTGTTTCTTATATATCCTGCAGGCTATGGATAGAGCGCACAGGTTAGGTCAGAAGAAAGTAGTTAATGTTCACCGTCTGATAATGCGTGGTACTTTGGAAGAGAAAGTTATGAGTCTACAAAAGTTTAAAGTGTCAGTGGCTAATGCTGTCATTAATGCGGAAAATGCTAGTTTGAAAACAATGAATACAGATCAGCTGCTTGATTTATTTGCATCAGCAGAAATCCCGAAGAAGGTATTAATACATGTTTATTTCTTGTATAGTTTGCTTTATATGCAGAACATTATTACATGAATAATATGACTGGGCCAATAGTTACTCAAATGAAGATCGAGTGAGAAACCCATACGCATGTATACACCGGAAATCTTGGATACCAGTTCTTAACAAGCCTGGTCTTTGTTAATTTGGTCAATGTTGTTAATCATTGTGGTTTATTTTACTTTTCTAATGTTTTTGGAATGATAATTTGTATAGGGGTCTTCTGCTGTGAAGAGTTCAGAAGACAACGCTGATGGAGAAATAGGCAGTGGAAAGGGATTGAAAGCAATACTTGGGGGATTGGAGGATCTATGGGACCAATCACAATATACAGAAGAGTACAATTTGAGTCAATTTTTGGCAAAGCTTAATGGTTAATGTTCGAGATCCATTTCAGAGTCAGAGTGTACATACACATATTCAAGACTACAAATTTTGACTTTGTAACATCTCAATTTTTTTCTCACATGCCCTTTTCCTCATTTTGTCATCAATTTTTGAGTACCCAAAAGGTGGCATATGCTTGTGTCATGTATGCATACAGGCAAGTAAATCAGTGTCTGTATTTTACAGGGTTGAGGAGAGTGAGGTTTGACGGAATGTTGGAAGCCCTTGGGGGTGTCATATAGAGAATTGAACTAGTGAAGGCTTGGGGAGGGGGGTGGAGCAACATGTCTTTTTTTCTTCTCTTTTTTGGATTTTGATTTTGTATATATTTACACATTCATTTCTAATTATAGTTATAGCTTTTGCTAACAAAAATCTAATGCTAATATTTCTTTAAAATTAGACAATATTAAATTTAAAGGTGATATTGTCACTTTTTTCTTCTCAGGAAGCGTCTCATGCATTGTTAATTGTTGGAATACGCACAAGACGAGTGACAGATCTTATTTACATCACTCAAACTGTTCTACATAATTTATTGTTGAACTAATATCTATTTCTATGATTGTCTTATTAAAGTCTACAACTTGACATATATAACTCCTAGGAGGATTTAACTTACACTCTGGCAGTTAAATTTGTTAACCCGGATTTTTGGCACATTTGTGTAAATATCCTCACAATATACAGGAAATTTTAAAATCTACGGCTGCATATAAGAAATTTCAACATAATATTGAAAATTTCACTGAATTTACTGTTTTTTTCTCTATTGGTGGGAGATACTGAAAATTTAATGTCTCGTTCAAAATTTCAGGGAGTATTAACATTGTATCGGAAAATTAGAAATTTTTGATAATGATGAATGTTTATTTTTCAACATTCTTCATAACTTTTTCTTGGAAAATTGAAATGGTAAAATAACTATCGATAATGACTCGGGCATCATTTCTCCAAAAATCTCCACCAACAGGATTGATTCTCGCTTGGAACTAGAGCACATAATATTTCACTTAATCCACACTATGAGATTGAGGTCGTCACTGGACCAACGTCCTATTACCATCACTGGACCAATCGTCCCATTAACATCATTGAACCAAAGTCCTAACATATGCTATGAATGCATGATACACAACAACATAATAAAACATGACTACTGCTAGTCAAAACACATCATTCATTCATGTAATCACAATAAGTTAATCATACACATCATATATACATGGAAACATCACAACATCATCATATCATCATACAACACAGTATCATCATAGTATCAACAACTCATCGTACAACACATGTCATTGTATTCCATCACATAGAAGTCTAATTTCATCATAGCATAGATACTATAAATATATATTATTTTAATCATCTTATTCTGCCTAAATATAGTTCATTGCGTTAGCTACCCAACACTTTGAACGACGGCATCAAACGGAGTCCCGAAACTCAATTTACGATAATTTAAATATTCTACCATCTGCCCCTCGCCTGAAACTCGTCCGACGAAGCAGCTTGTTCGCCTAAGGCTCACCCAACGAGGCTGGGTCGAAAAGCCTTCCCCAATACAAAATTCCAAGATCCTGCATATTTCCTTTTTCTTCCTTCGCTTAACGAAGTTGTTCGCTTACCCGACAAGCTTATCTCGCCTCTGCTTCGCCCGATGAAGTTAGAGCGAGTCCCTTTCTCCCATACAAATTCCAGGGACTCTGTTTATCACCCCTTCCTTTTGCCTCTTGATCGTATGGCTCTGCTTGGACGAAGCTCCCTCGTCCAACAAAACATTGAGCTCGCCCGACGATGCAACGGAGACAGGGAACTCCTAATGCATTTTCTGCACTACAACCGTCCTAATTTCCATATGATTTCACATCCAAACAGACCTAAAACTCATACAAATCATACATTCTCATCATATAACAACACTTCTTATTACATATTACATACATCATATCATGACATAATTAACATCAATTATTCATGATTTCATCAAAGATTCATCATACTTATCATGTTATCAATTCATCACAAAAATCCCCAAACAACCTACATACATCTAAATCCTATATCAATCATAATAACAAGGATAAATCCCTTTACCTTAGATTATAACTAGCAATAATCTTCTCTTCGCGTTTCTACAGAATTCCTCTAAGTCCCTCAATGCCCTAGTTATGCTCCCTGTCTCTTCTCTAAACGCGATCGTACAAAATGAGCATTCTAAACTTCAAATTCCCTTATGTCAAACTTACCTCTTGGATCTTTTTTGTGGTCTTCCTATATTACCCTCACTTACCACTTTGCCAATTACTATCTTGTCCTTATTATTTCTACACCTTATAATATCTAATTTTACTAATTAAAATAATTCTAAATAATTACTCTAATTATCTAAAATTATTTAAAATACCCAATACCACTTAATTTCTACTATACCCCACATAACATCACATCATACTTCATATTCACCAAACATCACATATATTCACAAAACATCACAAGTACTCATTATAAATTAAATAATCAAATAAATAATCTAATTATTTTAGGGTGTTACAACTCTCTCCCACTTAAAAGAATTTTCGCCCTCGAAAATTACCTGGCAGAAACAAAATCGGATAAGACTCTCTCATGTGATCCTCGTGTTCTCAAGTCCAACTTTCACCAGCTGATCCACTCCACAACACCTTCACCAAGGCGATGTCTTTACCCCTCAATTGCTTCACTTCCCGTCTTTCTAGCCGCACGGGTGATGCTTCAATAGTCAGGTTATCTCTCACCTGTACATCATCCATCTGAGTCACATGCGAAGGATCCATAATGTATTTCCTCAACTGAGACATATGAAACACGTCATGAAGATTCATAAGCGACAACGATAATGTAATCCGAAGCCACTTCACCTATCTTCTCAGATATCTGATATGAACCAACAAAACATGGCGTAAGCTTTCTCGACTTCAAAGCTCTACCAACACCAGTCATTGGAGTAACTCTCAAAAACACATTATCATCTTTTTGGAACTCAAGCGCTTTCCTCCTCTTATCGTGATAACTCTTATGACGACTCTGAGAAGCCTTTATACTCTATTAGATCATCTTGATTTTCTCATTTGTTTCCTCCATAATCTTAGGTCCGAGGGTAGAACTCTCGCTTGACTCATACTAACACATTGGAGTTCTACACCTCCTACCATACAATGCTTTGTATAGTGCCATACCAATACTCGCATGAAAACTATTGTTCTATGTAAACTCAATCAATGGCAAGTGACTGTCTCAAGCACCTCCTTGTTACAACACACAAGCCCTAAGCAAATCCTCTAAAGATTGAATAGTCATCTTTGTCTGACCATTCGTCTGTGGATGATATACGGAACTCAATCTCAACTTAGTTCCAAAAACATTATACTAACCTTCCCAAAACTTCGAGGTATCCCATGCAATTTCACAATCTCCTCAATATACATCTCAACTAGCTTCTCCATAGGAAGATTGATCTTTATTGTCAAGAAATGGGCCGACTTAGTCAACCTATCTACAATTACCCAAATCGAATCATTTCCCTTAGCAGTCTTCGGCAAACCTGACACAAAATCCACGGAAATACTGTCCCATTTCCATTGCATAATGTTCAACGTCTGCATTAGATCCAAAGGCTTCTTATTCTCAATCTTCGACTTCAGACATGTCAAACAAGCATAAACAAATTTGGAAACTTCCTTTTTCATACCTGGCAACCAAAACAACTTCTTCAAGTCATGATACATTTTCATAGCACTGGGGTTAATGCTCAAATCACTCCTATGCCATTCCTCAAGAATATTTCTCTTACGTTCTGGAACATCTGAAACACACACTCTATTTCTGAAACTCATCACAACATTATCATCAACTCAGAACTCTCGTCCATTACCTTGGTTAATCAAGTTCAATTGATCAACCAACTTCAAATCAAACTTCTGACCTTCTCGGATTTCTTCTATAATACCACTAGTCAATTTCAACATTCTCAACATCACACTATCAGGAGTATCTTCACATACCTAGCTCATATCTTTGAATTGTTCGATCATTTCTAACTCTCGAACCATAAGCATTGACATATGTAACGACTTTCTACTCAATGCATCAACAACCACATTCGCTTTACCAGGATGGTAGCTCAAATCAAATTCACAATCCTTTAACAATTCAAGCCATCTTCTCTGTCTCATATTTAATTCCTTCTGATCAAAAAAGTACTTCATACACTTATGATCGCTGAATACTTCAAATTTAGAGCCAAAAAGATAATGTCTCCAAATCTTCAACACAAACACCACATATGTTAGCTCTAAGTCACGCGTAGGATAATTCCTTTCGTGAACCTTCAGTTGCCTAGAAGCGTAAGCATCTACCTATCCATTTTGCATCCGTACACCACCAATACCCATCTTAGACGCATCAAAATACACCACAAAAGACTCACCTAGATTAGGCAAAATCAATACCGGAGCGGTCGTCAACTTCTTCTTTAATTCTACAAAACTTTCTTCACATGCAACATCCCACACACAAGCTTGAACCTTTCGAGTCAACTGAGGTAACAGTAACGCCAACTTAGAAAATCCTTTGGTGAACCTTCGATAATAACCTGTTAAACCAAGAAAACTTCAAATCTCAGTTGCAGACTGTAGAGTCTCCCATTGCAACAATACACATCAATTTTAGAAGGATCCACAACTATTCCACCACTAGAAATCACATGGCCAAAGAAATTCACTTCCTTCAACCAAAATTCACACTTCGATATCTTAGCATACAACTTCTTCTCTTTCAACACTTGCAAATGCGCATCATGCTCTTCTTCTGATTTAAAATAGATCAGAATATCGTCGATGAAGACCACAACAAAATTGTCCAGATACGAATGAAATGTTCGATTCATATACTCCATGAAAACATCTGGCGCATTAGATACACCAAACGAGATCACAGTGTAC